CTTCCTTTCGAAAAACTAACCTGCCTAAGCTGAGTTAGTACCATTTTTCTTGGGTTTTCGTGAGAAAAGAAATTTAAAGGTTTTAGTTTTTTTCCAATTCAAACCAATCTCATTTGTTAGTTTCCCTGGTCAGTCTTTTTGTGTGTTCTGGTTCCATTTGTCTTTCACTCTCTTTTCTGCTTTGTTGATCCTCAGGGATCTTTTCCATTTTTCAGTTGCCTCATATCTCTGTAGTCAGATTTCCCTTACGAGGTTCTGTATTTCTTCAAAGCAGCTTAAGAGTGTATGCTTGACTTTCTTTTTCTTGAAAATTCTGATACATTCATAAACCACATTTGTAATATCCTTGGGGATTAAGCTTCTAGATATTATATTAATCCAGATGTTTATTCCATCACGTTTGAACTTCTTGATCCATTTCTGGACCCAGAGTTTGCTTCATTTCTTCCTGCTTTGGAGGTAGTTTGATAAAACCTCGAGTATGCACAGATTAAATTCAAGTTTGTTCCCTTTGCATTTGAAGATATGTGTTTGGTCCTCGGTGACTACTTCACACCTGATGCATCTACTGAATCTATATAAGTCTCTTTTTCTAATGTAAAGTTTGGCCATGGTTGATAGCTCCTGTGCCCAGAACTTCAGCTTGAAAGACCTATATTGATGATTCTCAGTATTGAATGGTCTAGTAGTTATCCTTTTATGGTGTAAGTAGTTCACCATTGCTTCTCAATCGATCTTATTATTAAGTAGCATAAGGTCTTGAATCCTCTCTAAACTGTACCAATCTGTGATCTATTCATTCCTAAAATGGTTGTAAACTGCTTCCCTAGTATTGAAGCTGTGATCCCATTCTTGTATACTAGCACTAGCTCTTTTTTGTTAAGTGGTGTGATGTAAAGACATGTGGTTTGCCATTTAGATCTTGTCCACTTGGCCTCACCATCTACTTTTATGAGGATTCAGTTGCCATCTCTTTGAATCTTTTTAACTTTGATCTTGATGTCCTTTAGCTTCATGAGATTCTTGGTATATTCAGTAAGTCTTGCTATTTTGCTCTTATTTCTATTGACTTCTAGTGCTGTGGCTACTATTTGACTGTCCATGTTTAATGTTGCTTCTGTTCCACGTGGGAGAAATATGAGAGCTACTATAATTGCATTGAGCTCAGCCTTATTTGGTGATATTCTTTGTAGGATCTTGAAAGATATAATCTCAGTTTTTTTTCCTAATTCAAAATTTTCAATCTAGAAGGCAATGGTGTAAAATTTCTTATAGCTACTCATATCCATTGTGACTCTAACTCTTTGTCACTCTTTTGTGTCCTGTTGAAGTTGACTAATTCTTACTTTAGTTGTCTTGTCCCTGATTCATTCAAACCAATCCTTTGTGCAAGCATGGCTAGGGACGTGAACATCTTCAAGGTCTCATGATTTATGGCTTTTCTGATAGTCCAACCTAGTTTTGATGCTTTGCAGTAATGCTAGAAGCTCTGTTGTTTTGCTTCTGTATTGATCTGTGATACCTTGTCTATTTTTTTCTAGGATTGCGATCATGTCTTTCTTTGCTATTTAATGATATATATATTATTGGTGATTGCTTTGTTCATATCATATCTGATGCATAATGTTATGTAGGATAAATGTTGCTGCCAGGTGTAGTGTCTAGTATTCATAATGTTCATGTCCTTTTTCCTCAGTCTCCCTATGAGTATCTCTTCCTCCCCTATATTTTCTTCAGCAGCAATCCATATTAGTTTGCACTTTTTCAGGGATCTGCTGCTCTATATTTCTGCTCAGACCATATTGTGGAAGGAATTGACCCCTGGGTGAAGGTTTGTCAATCTTGTCATGAAGTCAGGATTGATTGTTTCTGTGGTTATTTTATTAATAATCTCTTCATATAAATGGGTCTATCTTCCCTGTGCATTTCAATGACTTGTGTGACAAATATGGACCCGACTTATTGTTTTGATTTTGTTGTAGTTGAGAACTGTTCAATCCATATAAGGTTGCTAGCTATGAGTTTGTTTCTATATTTGTCATACCATTTTCCTTCCATGTAGTCTTTTATTGATATCACTTATCCTTTGTCACTGACTTTTTGTACTATCTATCTCTATAGTACAGACCTTGCTTTTGTGTATGAATAAACACATTTTGTATAAAATTTTTGCCTATTGTATGGACCTTCGGGCATGCCTCCAAGATGCTTGTCTCTGTTTAGGCTGCCCAACAAAATTAAATTAATTATGTTATATTAAGATATAATTTCTAACTTTCTATTGATTAATAACTAAGATTTATAATTATACTACTAAAAAGATTATATAAAAATTTTTTTTGATTTAATTTACTATAAATATCACAATATTCTTTATCTTAACAGATATTTTTCTAGCTCAAAATATTTTGATATGATGTTTTATTTAAATAAAAATTAATCAATAATAATTGATTTGATATTACAAATAATAATAGATCTCTAAAGTATTTAATATATAAAATTTTATAGATTATGTATATCCTTTTTTGAGAGACAAAATTTTTAATTCTTTATTTTAATAGGGACAAAAGTTAGGAAATATTATAAATCAATAATTTAAATAATGAAAAACAACTGTGGAAGTTTTTTTATAATTATTAATTTAAAATTTTTAATATTTTCTAATAAGGAACATTTGACTTTTGTTCTTGTCTCCTCTTTTAGGAACCCATTTTAATTACAGTAATAATAAAAAAGATAAAATATTTTTTTTTAAATCTGAATAAATAGTATATAAAAATATTAAAAAGTATAATATATTTTATCAGATATATACATATATAAAAAATTAGTTTAATAAAATAATAAAAATGTATATACTCAATTCTAAATAGTTTAAATATATTATTAATAACTATATATTAATTATTTAACCCCTAGTTAGATCTATTCACTCAAAAATTAATAATAGATTTAGTTAGAATAAATTGTAATAGATTATTATTAATCTATATATTGTATATATATAAATATATAGTTTATATAAAATAATTGTTAATATGCTATAGAATTTAATTATCTAATTATATATTCTTTTCGTCAATTTTTTTACTATACACAAAAAAGATGTTTATAAGAAGTTTTTATATTTCTAGACTAATAAAGTCTTATTACTCTCCTTAAAACAACTTGAAGAAGTTTCAAGAGTTATCAATTACTTTCTCTTCTCTTGCTTATTATACTTTTCAAACAAACTTGATCTCTAGTAATCTTAAAGATCAAGAAAAACCTTTACTATCAATAGCAAGAAAGTTCTGAAAGGAAGAAGAATTAATATATCATCATCTCAAACTATAGAAAAATACTATAGAAGCCTGTAAATGATGAAAGACAAATTTTCCACCCTTTTGTTATTATATCTACTTCTCATAGTACTCATTCTTGATTTTTTTTTTTTGTAGGAATTTTGCCTACATCAGTTTGATCCTGAATTTCAAGTAGCACAAAGTTTCTTATATCATGATTGAACAGATAGAGCTCATATTAGTAAAAGAATATAAACAAGCACCCATTGATTATTTCATGTATCTGAATACATTTCTTTAGCTCCATAAGAATCTGGGATTTACCATAAGTCATTGTGGTTTATGTGAATAGATACAGGACATAATTTCTTCTACATCAGTACCTTGATCTAGAAAGAATCTTCAACAATATACTATATGAATTTATTAAGTGAAGTATACCAATAACAAGACTCAAGGATACATAAAAAGAAAATAATGCTTAAAAGTGTCATACTTATCTTTTAGAAGCATCAGATTAATAGGCTGAAAGATTTATTGTTCGTATTAACCAAAAGGCAGGACCAATGTACAGTCTGAAGAAAAAAGAACTATGGTTCAACCTCTCAAGATAGTAGTATTCTGAAAAAAATAGTATAATATTTATCAAATTCAATAAAGTGTGAGTTGGATATGTTAAAACTCTTTTTTTAGGATAGAACTATCACAATAATAAAAAGGACAGGTTATTGGATGATGGGCCCCTCCCCTCTAACACTTACATAACCTAAGGAAGAAACACTGATAGCATCATTGAGCTACTTATCCTTATGTCCTAGAACCCCTCTTGCAATCTCTGACTTATTATTATCTGGAAGAACATTGATAGAGATCCCATACTAAATAGGGTAAGGTGGAAATCAAAAGAAAAAATCAGAGCTGGGAGACAAGAAACCATAACATGGTTGTACTGAAAGCAGCTGAAGAAGAAGCATTATGACCTGGACTAATGAAGCCCTTGAAGAGTAACTAGCTAATGGTACAAAAGTGGTAATAGTAGTATAGTTTTCAAATCACTCTATATCAAGATTAACTTTTTTTTTTACCAGTGCTTTCTTTATTATATGCAAAGTCTTTTCCTCTATTTAATTTTATATAGTTTTGTTTGTAGTTATAACTTAGTCTAAAAGATAGAATTATAGTAGTTGGATAGATAATTAATCATTAGATTTAAATCTGAGGAACATACTAATATGAATACAAACATCATAGATTCTTTCTTATTTTTTTTTGTGTTAGTAGATCTCTTTACTAGCTCCTTTGTTCAAAAAAAAGGATGGCACTACCATAAAGTAGATTTGTTTTTATTAAAGTTTTACTTGAGAAACAGAAGTAGTTTATCTACATTATATATATAATATCTACTAAATTCAATAAAACATGACTGTACTAGTATTAAAAAAAAATTTTTTTTAATTATTCAGATGTGATTAAAAAAAATAAAAAAAAATAAAAGTTGTTTTTTAAATATAATTTAAGAAATAATATTTTATTTATTTGTTAATTTAAATTAATATTTAATTAATAAAATTATTGTTATAGATAATTATTATAAATTATTCATATTTTATTTTTAACTTAAATTTTAATTACTTTATTGTATAATAATATTTTAATAAATTTATAATATTTTTTTTATCTTTTTTTTTATAAAATTTTCTGAATCTTAATTTCTTAGTAATCTTGAACTTTTTATATATTTATTTTATATTTGAATTTTTAAATATTTTTTTTTATTTTAATAATATTTGGCTTTTTTTAGTTATTATTTTACTAAAATAATTATTTTAAATTTTATTTTTAAAACCTATATACAGTATATTTTCTAATAAAGTTTTATGATTATGCTTCATATAAATATTGATATAATTTTATAGTTAATACTTTTTGAGATAATTCTTCAAGTATTGATTTTATTCTTGTCCATTTATTTATATATTATATTTTAAAGATTTCTATTCAATTGTTAAATTTCATTAATTCAATTTCTTATTTAATTATAAATAGCTAGCTGATCTTTTATTTCAATTTTTTTTTATTAATGTATAGATCAATCTTATTTTGTGATTCTTTCTAGATATCTTTTCGTATTTTAATTATAACTGGGTATTTAAAGAAATATCCAAATGTTTTTTTATATTAAACAAGTAGTAGTTAAATAAATATCCAATTTTTTTTCTTCAAATATCGATAATATTAGAAGTTTATTGTGGTTTAAATTTATTAAAAGACCTTTATTTTATTAATTTTGAAAATATAAAAACCATATTATATATGTTAAATTGCTTCAGAAAATATTATTTTTTTTAGAAAAAAAAATTTTTTTTCAAACCATTCATGTGATTAAAGACCAGATCTAAATCGGTCTTGGGCTGAGCCGAACTAGGTAGTTTTAAGTCATACTTCATTCCGCAAAATACGTAAAATGACCACCAAATTCTTTGAACAACTTTCTCGAAATTATATTGAGCTTCTTAACG